CCATCCACGGCATCCCCGCTACACTCATCTCAGACAAAGACCCCAAATTCACCAGTAAGTTCTAGAAGGAGCTCATGGGACTATTGGGGACAAAGCTTGCAATGTCTTCAGCATACCACCCCCAGACTGACGGACAGACAGAGCGACTCAATCAGGTGGTTGAACAGTTACTGCGCACAGCTTGCAAGGACGATGTCAGCCACTGGGACACATAGTTACCGACCCTAGAGTTTGCTTACAACAACGCATCACATGCGGCCACATGGAAAACTCCTTTCTTCCTGTGTTACGAACGGGAACCACTCACACCACAGCAGCCAACCACACCGGCACACGTCCAAGCCGCACATGACCTCATCACCACCATGCAGCAGCTATGGGAGAAGACTCAGCGATGACTCACCACAATGCAGACCTCCCAGAAGCAGTATGCCGATCGTCAGCGACGTGATCACTCAGTAGCAGTCGGAGATCAGGTGCTTCTTGACATGCGCAACTTGAACCTGTCTCACCTACCTTCCAAGCTCCGGCCTCGCTTCTGTGGTCCTTTTCTCGTTGAGGCACAGGTGACACCAGTAACATTCCGCTTGCGCTTACCAGATACGTGGAAGCTTCACAACGCTTTCCATGTCCAGCTACTGAAACCCTACAAGGACCCCAACCGACAGTTCCAGGGACGGCAGATACCGCCACCACCACCTGTTCTCATCCAGGATGAACCAGAGTACGAAGTGGAGCGCGTTCTCACTCATCGGCGCCGCGGCGGCAAGACCCTCGAGTTCCTGATACGCTGGAAGGGATACGACCCCACTGAGGACAGTTGGGTTGCAGAAGCTGATATGGGCAACGCACGCCGTGCTCTCAAAGAATATCTTGTCAAGCAGGGTGTTTCTCACGCCACCCAGCTTTGAGGGGGGGACGTGTGAGATTATGACGGCTTATGCTGGCTTTGCTAGCTTGCCTGGACTTTATTATGCTATATCTAGCTTGGGGAGATTTGCATCCTCGAGATAAGCTGCTTCATCTCCTGCTTCTGGATCAGGTAAGAAATTTGGCCCTATGCGTTTGGAGACGTTGGTGTCGACCGGTTGGGGTGTGACGTAACCGTTGTTGGCGAAGTCGTAGTAGACCTCGGCGTGGACACTTTCTCGAGGGTTGTCGTTGTCCATGCGGATGTTCACTGAGCAGTACGGAAGAGGTCCGGCTTCTTCCGAAGCTCCGTCCACGTTCTGCTCGTCCCAGTAAGCTTCATCTGCTGCCGAAGCGAAGGCTCGGTCCCCACAAAATCCACCCGTGACATCTCGATTTGCTTCCAGGTTGTCCAGGTACGTCTGAAGTGTGAGTCGCTCGTAAAAAATGACATCACGTGTTGCTACCGTTTCCTTTGTGTGGACGTCATAAATCTTCCATGCGTTGTAGTGTTTTTTTTTGCCAAGGTGTAGTCCCCACTGTGCGCGTTGGGAGAATCGGCCGGCTCGTGCAGCTGGGGGTCAGTACTATACCATACGGCCAAATACTCGTAACATTTTTGTGCTGCCCAATTTTCCTGTTTACAGAAGATGCGGTGATGTGTTGTTCGGGAGCGATGATGACAAGAGCAAGTTGTGCAGCATGACAGCGTGGTCCATCGCCTCGGGCCACTGGTGGTTAGGTAGTCGCATGCCACGTAGCATGGTAGTCGCAGCTTGCGCATGGTGTTCTTGAGGGTCCTGTTCATCCTTTCTGCCACGCCTTGTCGCTGATGAGCGTAGGGAAGCGCGATGAGTCGCTTGATGCCTCTCTCTGCTAGGTACTGCGTGAATCGTTGTGATTGATATTCTCCTCCTCTGTCTGACTGGAAGCTTTTTAGCTTCACTCCTGATTCCTTTTCTGCTACTGGAAGCCAGGCGACGAAGGCTTCGCAAGCCATGTCGCGGCTCAGAAGGTTGAGGTGCCAGACGTATCGAGTGGCGGCGCCGATGAATGTGATGACGTAGTTGTAGGTTCCTTGTCCGCTTTCGCGGTTGAACAGTATGTCACTGTAAACCTTCTCCAGTGGTGTGTATGCAGGTGCGCTTGGGTTGTGATGAGAGACGAACGGCTGGGGAGGTAAGTCGGCTTCGGGGCAAGTAAAACAGGTTCCGCGAACTCGTTGAGGTTCTCTACCGTCGTGTAGTAGCAGTGAGTCTTTGTCGAAGACTCCAACTCTTATCGTGTTGTTTAATGTTGTGTTGCTCGGATGTCCCATCCTTGCATGCCAGATGGATTCGCTGGCGCAGTCTCCTGGTGAACGACTGTACAGTTCGGAGTTGGAGTAGAATCACGCGGTAAGGTTGGCACTTCTCTGAACTTCACGTGGAGTTGGAATCACCTGCTACGCAAGAGTCGGTGGAGTATCGTCGACGAAAACTGGTGCCGTTGAAGGACCCGCGATTGGTGTTGTAGTCGGTGCTGCCTCTGCTGCTGCCGGTGTTGTCTCTGCTGCTGCCGATGTTGTCTCTGCTGCTGCCCATGTTGTCTCTGTTGCTGCCGATGTTGTCTCTACTGCTGCCGATGTTGTCTCTGCTGCTGCCGATGTTGTCTCTGCTGCTGCCGATGTTGTCTCTGCTGCTGCTGCCGATGTTGTCTCTCCTGCTGCCGATGCTATCTCTTCTGCTGCCGATGTTGTCTCTGCTGCTGTCGATGTTGTCTTTGCTGCTGAAGATGTTTGTTGAATTATCACTAATGCTCTCGTTCGTTTTGCTTCAGGTATTGTGTGCGAGTACCAGAAGCCTTCAGGGCTGAAGCCGAGGTCAAGATATGGCAGGTGTGTCCAAGACATGAAATTGACGATGGCGTCGCTGTCGGCGGCGCCTTGGTCTGGAACGAAGTCAAGAACGAAGATATTGTTCTTCAAGTCTGCCTTGCCGATGTAGAGTCCTCCGCTCCCGTGGTACAGCTTGAACTCCTGGGTGGTGCTGTCTGCTTCGAGATGAATTCCCTTCGCCACTAGTTGACTAACGCTCAGTAAGTTGTAGCAAAGTCCTTCTGCGATTAAAACCTTTTGACATCTGCAGAATAACGTTGGTTTCTCAAAACTCAAGTTGGACCATCCCTTGTCATCGTGTGCGCAGGTTCTGGTTATTGGCGACGGTGATTATGACTTCGCGCTGAAGCTGGTGTTCCCGTTGAACAAAGCGACCCAATGAGCACATGTTTTGTCCGCAGCAACTGTCCAAGAACCAGGAGTCTTTCCCGGACGGCTCGCTTTGGGTGATGGCTGCGTACGTCGGATTCGGCTCCAATGATTTGCGGCGAGGGGTGCTTTCGTCGAGTTGTTCTTTTAGTGAGTAGTATGGTGGCAATCCGGTGATGCAGGAGTCTGTTGTTCTTGCCATGCAGCTTACGATGTTTCTTGCGCCTTGCGCAGGTTTTGTCGTTGATGTCGTTGAGGACTGTACTTGATTGGTGGGATACACTTGTGTAGAAGCAACTTGACTGCTTGAGGGTCGAAGTTGACGTTGCGGCGGCGTTGATTGCTGCTGATTCGGGCAGTGTGTGCGAGGGTGTCCTGATGTCTTGCAGAGATGGTAGATAGGTGGTACGTATTGTTGAGCTTGATGTTTGTTCTGTCGATTATTGTTGTTGTTGTAGCGCCGTTGAGTGTGGAACGCGAACTCTGGTGCTGACGCTCTCAGCGTAGGTCGTTCTTCGTGTAGGTCCATTACCTGCTGTTCAGCGTAAATTTCGGCGCAGATTGCCGCTTTGGAGATCCTCCCGTGAGCTCGGAGGATAGCTCGAGTGGAGCGCCAATGAGGGTCGAGGCCAGTGATGACAATTGTCACGAAGGCTTCTTCGGATATTGATCCTCCGCATCGAAGGAGTCTGTCGCGCAATCCACAACAACTGCTGATATAAGCCATCTCTTTTTTGCCGGGTTTCATTTCCACTGTTGTCAGCGGTGCCATGAGACGACTTTGTTTAACACTGTCTCTTGCTTAATACAAGTTCTTTAGGTGGTTGTACGCAAGCTCGGCGGAGTTGTCGTATCCACGATAAGACCGGATGTTCTACTGCTCGTTCGGAGTTATGTTTCACAGAAAAATTGTATACGCCATTAGCGATGTGAGAGAACTGAGGAATGAAGAAGAGGGGAGTTCACTAGCAAACATTGGGATACATATAGCAAACCCTAAAAGGGTTGTACTCACTATAGAGTACCCCACTGCAGACTAGAGAAACATAATATTCTGACACACCCCTATAGTCAAAGTGGGGTGTAATCAGCACACCAAGCAAAGCAGAACAAGCTCAGGGTGGATCACAATGTCACCACACATTCTGAGCACAAGTACAAGAAGCAACAGTTTAAAGTTCACAAATGTAAGCAAAGCTAGAGGCTATCGCAGAGGGCAAGTGTGGAGGAGGAGGGACTATGAGAGGAGAGGAGGTAGTGGGCGGCAGCTGAAGCTGCTGGCACACGGCGCAACTGGAGCAACAGGCACACGGGCAACTGGAGCAACTGGCACACTGGCAACTGGAGCAACTGGCACACGAGCTACTGGAGTAACTGGCTCCGCGGCTAACTCTGAGCGGCAGGAGCAACGGACTCACGGGCGACTGGAGCAACGAGCTCACGGGCAACTGGCGCAACGGGCTCACGGGCGACTGGCGCAACGGTCTCACGGGCGACTAGAGCTGCGGGCTTCACGGCGGCCACCCCCTTCAACCTCCCCAAACTATCCCACCCCCATTTCACACACCCCCTACTGCACCCCTAGGTTCACTCACACCCCACCCCCTAGCACCACTCCGTCGACTCCCACACACCCACCCCCCTCAGCGGCAGCTGCAGTAGTGGGAGACAGAGGAGGAGGAGGAGGAGGAGCAGGGGAGACCACACACCCGCCACCCCCTACTCGCCACCCCCAGACCCTAACACAGGGCAGGGCGGGACGGCGGGTAGGGAGGGTACGGGGGGGGGGGGGGGGCGACGCGCGGCCTCCCAGGGCGCCAAAACAGGCGGCAGAAGGGGCGGCGCTCTACCCCCCTCCCCCAGGTGCCCCCGAGGGAGCCGCGACGGGCGACGGGAAAAGAGGGGGGGGGCGGTGCACGTGCCCCCGGTGCGCCGCGACTGGCGACGTAGCATGTCCGTGGCGGGGCCGGGGCAGGGTCGAGGAAGGGCCGAAAGGGGCGGCGACGGGGCCGCAAGTGGCAGCGATGGGGCCGCTGGAGGCGGCGACGGGGCCGCTGGAGGCGGCGACGGGGTTGATAGGGGCGGCGACGGGGCCGTTAGGGGCGGAGACGGGGCCGCTGGCGGCGGCGACGGGGCCGATAGAGGCGGCGACGGGGCCGCTAGGGTCGGCGACGGGGCCGCTGGCGGCGGCGACGGGGCCGATAGAGGCGGCGACGGGGCCGCTAGGGTCGGCGACGGGGCCGTTGGCGGCGGCGACGGGGCCGATAGGGGCGGCGACGGGGCCGTTAGGGGCGGCGACGGGGCCGCTGGCGGCGGCGACGGGGCCGATAGGGGCGGCGACGGGGCCGCTAGGGTCGGCGACGGGGCCGCTGGCGGTGGCGACGAGGCCGATAGGGGCGGCGACGGGGCCGCGAAGGGGCCGCGAGGGGCCTGGAAGGGCGGCGACGGGCCGCGAAGGGGCCGCGAGGGGCCTGAAAGGGGCGGCAACGGGGCCGCGAAGGGGCCGCGAGGGGCTGAGAAGGGTGGCGACGAGGCCGCGAGGGGTGGCGACGGGGCCACTAAGGGTCGCGCGAGGGGCACGCCACGGGGCGTGCAGAGCACAGAGTAGCAGCGGAAGCAGTTAGGTGGGCCCACAGGCCATGAGCGTAGATGCTCTGATAGCATGTGAGAATTGAGGAATGAAGAAGAGGGGAGTTCACTAGCAAACATTGGGATACATATAGCAAACCCTAAAAGGGTTGTACTCATTATAGAGTACCCCACTACAGACTAGAGAAACATAATATTCTGACAAGCGACTGATACGTGTACCGTTGCTTGTCGTACTGCGTCCCGTGTGTTAGGTATGGCAGGGATCCGTTGAAGAATCCGAGAATTTTTTTGCCTTCCATCATCAGCTCGAACTCAAATGACCAGGTATAAAAGTCTTTGCCGTCGAAAGGTATCGATGTCTGCAGTTTCAAGACGTGCGCGATTTGCGATTGTACCTGAAGCGCGTCCAGTGTTTTTTCTTGTCTAGATGGAGGTTGTTGGTGTGGCATGAAGCTTATGGAGCCGCGTTGAGGCTCGTACGGAGCAAAGGTAGGTTGCTGCTGGTTTCCGCGCGCATAGGATGAGCCGTCGAGGCTCATTGGAGTAACGCCGTTATTGTTGTCGCTATTGTTTGATTACGCAGGAGCTGTTTGCTGGTGCTGCTCGTAGAAGGACATGAAGAAGAAGAATTTCTCCATCATACTTGGGTCGAAGCCTATTGCCTGGTTCGCGGGAGTTTCAGTAGACTCAGCTGCTGGTCTTGTTGCCGTGGAGGCTGGAGGTGGAGTAGGAGTAGTGCCGGGAGAGCCATTGGAAGAGCTTCTCTCCTTCTGTGTTGCCATGTCTTCTGGTGTTGTAGGAGTGTTAATAAAGTTGGATCTTGCCTTGTGAGCTCTCATACCATGTTGGGCTGAGAGAAAACCCTTAGGATCTTTCAAGGCTAAGACCCTGAGTAGGAATGTTGTAGTTGCGGAAGCGTTCTTAGTGAACTTTGTTGAACCAACTTGCACTAGTGTGTGAGAGCAAGAGATTGATTATAGCAAGGTAATACAAAGGTATTTATTAAATTACAATGGATATAAAAAGGTGCAACTAACTGTTTGCTGTTGCAGTTCGATATAGTGACGACTCGGGCAACTGCTCAATACCGAGTCAGTTGTTTGTCCTTGCTGTCGCGCTGTATTCCGCTAAATTAAAGGTCGCTGACCTTTGACCTTCTCGTAACCTCCAGCTGTTACTTTCTGTCAACCTCATCGGTTGACTCGCCATTGCTTCGTTGAGATTCGACTCGTTTGCAGTCTATTGTTTCGACACAACATGAGCGTTTAAATTACTTGTTTCCAACACTGGGAAAGGGTAATTGAAAAAAATGCGGCCGTCAGTCAGTGCAATCAGGGCGTTTTACCCTGATAACGAGAGCCCTGTTGACCACCTTTCTTATTTCCTAATTCCTTACTGAGTCACCCCATAAGCGTACAACCCAGCTTTCGGAAGACTGGGCTCGGCTGCTTCCCGAACGTCCCTCGCTCGCGTTGCCTTCAGGTTTGACAAACAGCACCCAACCATTGCGACCCCGCGAACCCCGCCAAGCTAGCCTTCCTCTATATCTGATCAGTGGTTGTAATCACTTCCGTGATATTGCATTCTGCACACTCTTTTAATAGTTCAACTCATAACATGTACGGATAAGTCATTTGTTATTACGACACTCCGTTACAGCTCGCCGTAACACTCAGCTTCGTCTCTGACTTCCTGTCATTCCCGACCCGTCGTCGCGGTTTGTCTATGTCTTTGGATTCATCCTCGCCAACGGTCTCGATTTGCCATCGTTGCATTCCAACTTCGATGGTTGGTTGCGATTCTGTCAGCAGCGCTCCACCGAAGGCAGCAGCACCACCGCATGCTCATGCCAATCTCAGTCATAGGCGAACATGGTAGTCATAACCCATGTCAATCGTAGTCTTCCCGAGTTAGTTGTAGGCTGTTGTAATTCCTTGCATAGGTCGTAGCGGTGCTGCTGGTCCGAGCCTGTCAGAGTTCGTGTTTCTCTCGCCTCCTGGAGGTCTTCCTGTTTGCATAAATTATTTTAAAATGGACAAAAGGAGGAGTATGCTGACTAGATCACCGGTTTCAAGCGGTTTTCAAAGAGCGAGAACAGCCTCGACCCGCCTTTCGCCTCCGCAACGGCCCATTGTTTCTCCTTGTTTTAGGGTCCGCCGTGGGATCTGCCATGGGGTCCGCCATGGATCCCGTTCAGGCTTTCGCCGACCTTATCGGCACGCCCCGTCCAGCCGCGACTTTCCTGCTAGCTAGCTTCGCGTTTGTCCCGATCGCGTGGCTTCACAGATTCATATCATCGCCTACACTCCGCCACCTGTACTGCACAGTAACGGGACTGCTTCTATCAGCCTTCGTGTTCGGATGGACGGCGGACGCGCACTTCTTCGTGTGCATGCTCTACTCCATGGCCGTAATGCGGCTGTTTCGTAGACACTGCGGCGTCTTAACTTTCTTCGGAACGTTCGCGTACTTGATTGGTTGGTAAGTTTCCCTTCCTTGTTCTCTGCTTCTTTGTGTTTCTTTGGTTTTGGAATCGCGAGTCAAAACCACAAGATCAGGACGGTAGCAGCCTTTCATGCAAACGGTTAGCGCCTTCTGCGTCCGACGCCAGCTGTATCAGCGTTTCCGATCTTTGCATCCTCTCCCTTCTAGCCGTCCTTTCATGCGAACATCCCTCCGTCTCCGCATTCCCCGCTTCAAACTCCTCAATCACCAGCGTTCACATTTCCCGTTTTTCAAGTGTGTGCCTTCCCTCGTTCGATGATGATCGAATCAATGATGCGATCCGACCTCCTGCAGCCACATCATCATGCGCACCCACGAGACCCGCACGGAGGGCGTGCTCGACTGCACAGGCGCGCTCACCGTCCTCGCTACAAAGCTCACCGCTGTGGCGTATAACTACCAGGACGGGCTCACGCTGCTGGAGGGGAAGGACGAAGGCGCGCAAGCCAAGGACGAGAAGGAGAGGAAGGAGTTGACCGAGGAGCAGAGACGGCGGGAGGAGCGGACAGAGCGCTCGCGATTGGAGCGGCGAAAGGCGGCGCTGGTTACCATGCCGTCGGTGCTGGAGCTGATGGGGTATCTGTTCTGCTTCGGGCTGCACATGACGGGCCCGTTCTTTGAGTTCACGGCGTATGACGACTGGACCCGGCGACAAGGGGTACGCTGTCAAACGTGGCATGTGCTTCCATGCCCATGCATACCTTGTCAACAATGGATAGGTGGTCTGGCTGCGGATGCAACATCCATATCACCGGGCTGTCTTGTGATGTCATCTCCCCGCACCTCACCACTCTGCGCGTTCCCGCCCATCCCCTTCCGTCCTCACCACCTGCAGATCTGGTCCGCGGGTGTCAAGCAGCCGCCCATCCGCGCGCCATTCTGCCGCGCGTTCATCCAGGGCGTGCTCTCAGCGCTCGTCTTCCTGCTCGTGTCCCCCTCGCTCGACCTCACTCAAATCAGCAACCTACACAAGAACCGCGCCCACCCCTTCCACGTGCGCTGGCTCGTGGCGCACCACGCGTGCATCGTGTGGCGCTTCCGCGCGTACATCGTGTGGAGCATCACCGAGGCCGCCATGATCACCGCCGGGCTCGGCTTCACCGGCTGGGAGACCCCCACGGGGGACCCTGGGAAGGCCGGGGACGTGAAGTTGAACGGGGGGAAACTGGAGGGGGCGAAGGGGAATGGGAAGGGCGGTGGGGATGGGGATGTGGGAAAGCAGGAGGGTGATAGGACGTGTGCGACGCCTGAAGGGGAGGGGAGGCCGCTGTGGTATCGGGCTCGCAACGTGGACATACTGAGGGTTGAGTTTCCCACGAGCTGCCTCGACTTTGCTACCAAGTGGAACATCTCCTACGGCCTCTGGCTTAGGCTCTGTGAGTTCTGGTTCGTCTTAATGGTCACCTGTCTCAGGCTCTGAGTCTTGCGGTGAGTTTTCAGTCGAGTCAGAGTCGACTTTGCCACCATGTGGAACATCTCCCACGGCCTTTGGCTCAGGCTCTGTGAGTCCACGCCACACTGCACGTCCACCTCTCGACCTCTCTGAAACCACCTTGTGGCTCTCTGCACCTCTTTGGACCTCTCTGAACTGTTCCAGGACCTCCGCGAGTTTGACCTTCGTGCTTTTCTCGTTCGTGTGTATGTGCTCCCGGCATTCTAGCCGTTTCCTCATTGGCTGGCTTCACATGCTCCATGCTCCATGCTCCATACTCCATGCTTCAGCTTCATGCTTCATGTAGCATGCTTGCCTCATGCTTCACCATTCGTCATTGCTTCGCTCTTCCTGCGACATGCGGCGTGCTTGTCGTGCTTGTCCGCTGCTCTCTCGTGACTCCCTGCCATCCGTCCACCCCTGGTCACCTGCGCCCCCCGTGGGCACAGACGTGTACGAGCGCATGGTGCCGCCGGGCAGGAAGCCCACCTTCGTCCACATGCTCGCCACCATGTTCGTCAGTGCTATCTCCCATGTGCGTTCCTTTCCCCGTTCCATGCTGCTCTCTCCCGTATACATTCTCTCTTAACCCCTCCCATATGCATTCTTTCTTACCCCGTTCCATGTGCTTACTGCCTCCCATGTGCTTACTGCCTCCCATGTGCGTTCTCCTTACCCCTTTCCATGCTTTTCTCTCATATATTCGTCACCGCTACCACCCATATTTCTATCTCCTATGTGCGTCACCCCTACCACCCATGTTTCTGTCTCTCTCCAGATTATTTATTGGTTTCAAAGACTGTCTCCCACCCCATACTCTCCCGACCATGTGCATTTTTTCCACCCCCCCACTCTGTGTTACCCGCAGGGCTTGAATTGCGGTGACTTCATATTCTTTGCCAATTGGGCGCTTGTTGTTGCCAGCTCTAAAGGTGTGAACCGACCCCAAAACAACCAGATTTTTGTTCAACGGAGCTTGATTGTTTCATGCATAGAAATTGAAGACCACTACAACAATCCCGCAATCTGCTGCACTTCTGACAAGTTGTTTCATTTCCCTTTACATTAGTTTCCATTTTCATTCGTGCACTTCCATCCCATTTCTATTCCTTCTTCCGAGCCTGTATTCTTTTCCATATCCATCCGATTCTACTGTGCATTCCCATTCCTCTCGCCATATCCATTTTCCATTCCTGTTCCCACCACCACTCCCATCACCATTCCAAACCCAAATCCCATACCCATTTCCCATTCCCCTTTCTCCACCATGGGATCAAAACCCGTTACTCGGGCTCACCAGTTCTGTGAACTTGTGCTCTAATCCATCCTTCTCAAACCTATCCCTGCTCCCCTTCCCTTCATGTCTCTTCCCCTCCATGCAGCCATCTACCAGCTGACGGCAGGAATCCCCAAGGGCACCATCACCCACCGCATTGTGGCACTTCTTCATACCCTCTATAGCATCTTCGTCTCTACCTACATGGCCAGCGCCTTCTGCGTGAGTGTGCACACTAAAATTTTATGGACTCTCCAGTAAGTTTTGCTGCTGGGGCCGTAAAGCTCGCTCTGGGCCGCCACGCATCTCCGCTGCCCACTCCTTTATGCGCATTACCTCTCGTTTGACTGTGTTTGCTATGGTTGTTCTTGCTGCAGGTGATGACACTATCGGGTGCATTCTCAGCCTATAGTGGCATGTACTATAGTGGTACTGTCATCCCAATTCTTCTAATTATTTTGTCTATGGTGTACAAGCCTCGCCGACCAAAGACTGTCAAGACAGAGTAGCACATGACTGTTTAATGGGCATGAGATGGAAACCCAATCCTATTTATGAGCTTTAATACTATTGAGAAGCACCGCATGCCTCTTGTTGGGCTGAGATAGCCCCTTAGGATCTTTGCAAGGGATAACTCTAGGTGAAGTAGTTGTAATAGCGGAAGCGTTTAGTGAAGAATTTGAACCGACCTTGCACTGGTGTGTGAGAGCAAAGTTGATTGAATTAAACAAGCAAATACAAGGATTTATATAAGAGTACAGGGAATAGATAGATAACTGTATTGCTGTTGCGGTTCGATATAGCGCGACTCGGGCAACTGCTCTGTAACGAGTCAGTTGTGTGTCCTTAACTGTCGCGCTGTAATTGTCGAGTCAAAGGTCAGCGACCTTTGACTTTCTCGTAACCTCCAGGCGGTTACCCTAACCTCCGAGGTTGACTCGATGCTTCGATTGGGACTGCTTCGCTTGGTACCTTGGATTTTGATACGACAGAAGCGCACTTAGGACTTATTGTTTCCAACACTCCCCTTCGCTTCTGGAGTGTTACTGCTGGTGACGTGGCCTTGTCCAGTCAGCATCATGCAGTATTCGAACTTCTGCTTGCCGAGTTTCTTGGTCAAGTAATCGGCTGCCATCTCGGATGTTGGACAGTATGACAGATCGAGTTTCCCTTTTTCTATCTCGTCCTTCACGAAGAAATAGCGCAGGGCGATGTGTTTCGTCCTGTTTGCGAAGCCGTTTTTGTTGGCGATGCGAATTGCTGACTGGTTGTCGCAGAACACGGTGAAGCTGGGTAACTCGGCTAGCTTTGCTTCTTCCAGTAGTTCGCGAAGGTAAAGTCCCTCCTTGGTGGCTGAGCAGAGTGCAATATATTCTGCTTCTGCTGAAGATAGTGCGATTAACTCCTGCTTGCTCGACTGCCAGGAGATAGGACCGATAGGCTCAAGGCGGTAGACATAGCCGGTGCGTGAGCGCCTGTTGTCGGTGTCGCCGGCGTGATCGGCGTCGACGTAGCCGATTAGCTTAGTCGGTGTAGCTGCGCTCTTGTGGTAGGTTAGCCCGATCGTCGCGGTGCTGACGAAGTAGTGGAGAACGCGATCAAGTTCCGCCAGGTGTTCAGCTTCAGGCTTCTTGAGATAGGTGGCGAGCTGACTTGCGGAGTAGGATAAGTCAGGACGGCAGGTGACGGCGGCGAATAGCAGGCATCCGAGCTTCTTCTGATAGTCGCGTATGCCGGCGGGCTTGAGTAGAGTAGTTCGTTCCTTCTCGGTTCCTGATGTGTAGCGGTAGGGCGTGGAGATGGCGCTTGGTGTGAGGCTGAAGCGTTTCGCGATGGTGTCGGCGTATTTCTCGGCGCTTAGATAGATGGCATTTTCTTCTTCGCGGATGTTGAGCCCGAGGTACTGTGTAACGGTGGAGGAGACCGTGAGCGTGAGGTCTTTCTGGAGCTCTCCTTCGAACCACGTGGCGATGCCGTCGGTTGACCCAATGTAGAGGAGATCGTCCACGTAGACGATCAGGAGAACGTAGTCGCTTCCCTTAGTGAGGCGGTACATGCCTTGGTCGTGAGGTAGTTGACTAAAGCCGATGCGGATGAGACGGGCGTGCAGGTACTGCTGCCACAGTCGCGGTGCCTGCTTGATCCCGTAGAGCGACTTAAGTAGTTGACAGATTCGGTTGGGTTCGCCGTGGGAACCGTGCGGGAGCTCGACGTAGATTTCTGCATCCACAGGTGCGTAGAGGAAGGCATTCGCGACGTCGATCTGCCGTAACTTCTTCTTCTTCATGGCGGCAATGGCGAGGAGAATTCGGAGTGACGTGTGGCGGCTGACTGGAGCAAAGGTCTCGGTGAAGTCTCGTCCTTGCTCTTGGTCGAATCCACGTACGACCCAGCGTGCTTTGAATTTTTCGATCGTGCCGTCTGCTTTCGTCTTGATGCGGAAGACCCATTTCCCGGTAAGGATGGTTTTGTTCCGTGCCACGCTTACGGGAACAACCTTCCAAGTGTTGCGTTCCTCTAATGCCTTCAGTTCTCTATCCATGGCTTCACGCCATTTCTCCCTGTGTTCCCCCCCCAGAGCCTGCTGAACCGTTGCAGGCTCCTTAGGAAGCGAGCTGCGTGTGTTCCCGTGGACTGCGGTGACGAGGCCGAGGATTTGCAGCCCAGTCTGTGAGTATCGAGGGAGTTCTGGATCCTCGGGATAAGCTGCTTCGTCTCCCGTTTCTGGGTCGGGCATGAAATTCGGCCCTACCCTTTCTGCTTCGTTGGTGTTGACTGTCACAGGTGTTACGTAACCATCGTCGGCGAAACGGTAGAAGATTTCGGCGTTGTTACTGTCGCGAGGATTATCCTCATCCATGGGCACGTCGACGGAGCAGTATGGGAGAGGTCCGGCTTCTTCTGAGGCGTTGTCGACGTTCTGTTCATCCCAGTCTGCTTCGTCCGCTGCTGACGCGAAGGCTCGGTCACCACGAAAACCACTGGTGAGGTCCCGATTCTCGTGCAAGTTGGCGAGGTACGTCTGAAGGGTGAGTCTTTTGTAGAAGATCACGTCACGTGCTGCTACTGTTTCCTTTGTGTGGACGTCGAAGATTTTCCATGCGTTGTAATTTTTCTCGATGCCGAGGTGTAGTCCCCACTGTGCCCGTTGCGAAAATCTTCCCGCTCGTGCTTCTGGGGGTCTGTACTGTACCATGCACCCGAAAACTCGTAACATTTTCGTGCTGCCCTGCTTCCCTGTCCACAGCAGATGCGGTGATGCGTTGTTCGGGAGTGACGACGACGACAACAAGTTGTGTAGCATGACAGCGTGGTCCATTGCTGCTGGCCACTGGTGGTTGGGTAGCCGCATGCCACGTAATAGTTTGCGCATGCTGTTCTGCAGGGTCCTGTTCAGTCGTTCTGCAACACCTTGCTGCTGATGTGCGTAGGGAAGGGAGAGGAGTTGCTTGATCCCCCTTTCCGCCAAGAACTGCTTGAAGCGGTGAGAGGTGTACTCGCCACCTCCGTCTGACTGGAAATTTTTCAGTTGTGTTCCAGACTCTCTCTCTGCTATCGGTAGCCAGGCGGCGAATGCTGCGAGCGCCATGTCGCGGCTGGGTAGGTTGCGATGCCAGACGTATCGAGTGGCGGCGTCGATGAAGGTGATGGTGTAGTTGTAGTTGACTTGTCCTGGCTCGCGATTGTAGAGGATGTCGCTGTAGACTTTTTCGAGTGGTGCGTACGCTGGAGCGCTCGGGTTGTGATGTGAAGCAAACGGTCGATGAGGTAAGTCAGCTTCGGGACATATAAGGCAAGTCCCTCGTGCCTTCTGGAGTTCTCTGCCATCGGGTAGAAGTAGAGAATCTTTGTCAAGGACTCCTGCTCTTATCGTGTTATTCAAAACCGTGTTGCTTGGATGTCCTGTTCGTGCGTGCCAGATCTCTTCAGAGGCGCGGTGTCCAGGTGAACGCTGATATGCGTCGGAGTTGGAGTAAAAGCTGGCGACGAGGTTGGCGCTTCGGTGGACTTCACGTTGAGTCGGATTCAGCTGTTTCGCGGGTGTTGGTGGTGCTTCGTCGACTGTGACTGGTGTCGTTGTTCCTGCTGCTGCTGATGTTGTTGCTGCTGCCGATGTTGTTGCTGCTGCCGATGTTGTTACTGCTGCTGATGTTGTTGCTGCTGCCGATTGTCGAATTGTTGCTAATGCTCGTGTTCGTTCTGCTTCAGGAATGGTGTGCGAGTACCAGAAGCCTCCTGGGCTGAAGTCGGGGTCGAGATCCGGAGGGTGTGTCCAGTCAGTGAAATTCACGATGGCGTCGCTGTCTGCAGTGCCCAGGTCAGGAACGAAGTCGAGGACGAAGACGTTGTTCTTCAGCACTGCTTTCCCGATGTAGAGACCTCCTCTCCCGTGGTAAAGTTTGAACTCCTGGGTCGTGCTGTCGGCTTCCAGATGAATTCCTTTCGCCATCAACTGGCTAACGCTCAGTAAGTTGTAGCCGAGTCCTTCAGCGATGAGTACCTTAGACATGTGCAGTATGACATTTGTTTCTCTTGACTGAAGCTGTACCACTCCTTGTCTTCGTGTGCGCAGGTTTTGGTTGTTGGCAACCGTGATGATCACTTCCCGTTGGAGTCGATGTTCGCGTTGTACGAAACGCCCGGACGAGCACATGTGTTGCCCGCAGCAACTGTCCAAGAACCAGGTGTCTTGGCCGGACGGTTCACTTTGAGCGATGGCGGCGTACGTTGGATTCGGCTGGAGTAGCTCACGGCGAGGCGTTCTGTTGTCAAGCTCTTCTTCCGGTGAGCAGTGTGGTGGTGATTCGGTTGTACATGAATCGGTTATCTTCGTCATGCAGTTGATTATATTTCTTGCTCCTTGTGCAGGTTGTCCGGGTGAAGTCGTTGAAGCTTGAATAGTGGTCGTCGCACTTGCTTGTGTTGAAGCCATTTGGGAGCTTGAAGGTCGAAGTTGTCGCTGTGGTGCCGTTGATTGCTGACGATTCGGGCAGTGTGTGCGCGGGTGCCCTGAAGTCTTGCAGATGTGGCAGAAGGGAGGTACTATCTTCGGTTGCTGCTGTCGGTTGTTATAATTGCTGTGTCGTCGTTGAGTGTGGAATGCGAACTCTGATACTGTCGTTTTCTTCCTGTGTCGTTCTTCCTGCAGGTCCATATCTTGCTGCTCGGCATGTATTTCGGCGCAGAGTGCAGCTTCAGAGATTCTTCCGTGGGCTCGAAGAATGGCTTTGGTGGCGCGCCACTGAGGACCAAGTCCACCAATGATGACTGTCACGAAGGCGTCTTCAGAGATTGACCCTCCGCATCGAAGCAGCTTGTCGCGCAGTTCGCGACATCGGCTGATATACGCCAGTCCTTTTTCTCCTGGTTTCATTTCGACTGTCGTCAACTGCGCCATTAACCTGCTCTGGTTTACACTGTCTGTTGCTTGATACAGGTTCTTCAGATGGCTGTACGCGAGCTCCGCCGAGTTGCCGAAGGTCCGGTAAGAGCGAATGTTCTGCTGCTGAGTTGGTGTCACGTTCCTCAATAGGATTGTATACGCCATCATTGATTGATACGTATACTGCTGCTTTTCATATTGTGTCCCGTTGGCTGGATACTGCAGGGACCCGTCGAAGAAGCCGAGTATCTGCGCGCCCTCCATCATCAGCTCGAATTCAAAGGACCAGGTAAAGAAGTCTTTGCCGTCGAAGGGTCTTGATGTTTGCAGTTTTAAGACGTGTGCAAACTGCGACTGAACTTGAAGTGCGTCCAGTGGTCTTTCTTGTCCAGGTGAAGGTTGCGGGTGGGGCACGAAGCTGATTGACCCGCGCTCGTACGGAGCAAAGGTAGGTTGCTGCTGCTGGTTTCCTCGCGCATATGACGACCCATCAAGACTCATGGGTGTCGCTCCGTTGTTGCTGTTGTGTGTTTGTGCAGGTCCCGACTGCTGGTGTTGTTCGTAGAAGGACATGAAGGAGAAAAATTTCTCCATCATGTTCTGGTCAAAGTCCGAAGGGTGGTTCATGGGGGTCTCGGTTGACGTTCCTCTTGGTCTTGTTGCCGTGCCTTCTTCTGTCTGCAGGCCAGAGGCTGGCGGTGGAGTAGGAGTAGTGCCCGAGGAGCCATTAGTGGAGCTCCTTTCCTTGTTTGTTGCCATGTCTTGTAATGATATTGAGAAAAGAGTAGAGTTTCCCTTGTCTGCTCTGATACCATGTTGGGCTGAGATAGCCCCTTAGGATCTTTGCAAGGGATAACTCTAGGTGAAGTAGTTGTAATAGCGGAAGCGTTTAGTGAAGAATTTGAACCGACCTTGCACTGGTGTGTGAGAGCAAAGTTGATTGAATTAAACAAGCAAATACAAGGATTTATATAAGAGTACAGGGAATAGATAGATAACTGTATTGCTGTTGCGGTTCGATATAGCGCGACTCGGGCAACTGCTCTGTAACGAGTCAGTTGTGTGTCCTTAACTGTCGCGCTGTAATTGTCGAGTCAAAGGTCAGCGACCTTTGACTTTCTCGTAACCTCCAGGCGGTTACCCTAACCTCCGAGGTTGACTCGATGCTTCGATTGGGACTGCTTCGCTTGGTACCTTGGATTTTGATACGACAGAAGCGCACTTAGGACTTATTGTTTCCAACACCTCTGAACAGATTTGCTCCAGTCATATGCCACATGCCTCCATGGCAGTGAGACGTGTTTGTAAGCAGTCCTTGGAAATCAGCACAACGCATGACATGGTGGCAAAAAATGAGAGGAAAGAAGGATAGGAGCCACTAGTACGGTAGTGTTTTGCCTGTTTGGAATGTTCTGTTTTCGTGGTTTCTTTTTGCAGCTGGTAACTAGGATTGTGAGTCGTCGTTAATGTTGTCGTCAATGCTGGAAGAATGTGAGAAGGGTACGAAACGGACACATCGAGAAATACTTGCTGTGCGAGCTGTTCGAGAAGTCTGAAAATTTGACCGCATTTGTTTTTGCGAAGGTCAATGGCGCTCACCATTAGTACGCACGCGACTGTACTAGTTCCGCGACCGTCCACTTCTCGCTCCAATCCGGTGACTCTCAATTCCGCAACGCGCGTGCGAAATAGTCGTACGCGGTCTACGGCCCTTTATTTTTCGCAAAACTCTTCGCCGCACATCGCCGACCTCAGCACATGCACCCACCGCAGCAAGCGGCGCGACTTCCGCCACAAGCGCGCTCTCAATTTGCAACGCTCCGCACCATGCGCCGCATCCCCTACCGAACCGTCAGCTCCGGCGAGGATTCCGTCTCTTGACGAACTCCGTCGAATGCTGGAGCAGACGGAGAGCGCAACTCTTACGGGAAAAGCAGAGACGGCGGGGAACGGAGGATCAGAAGGAGAAGGAATCGACGGTGAAGGCGGGAGAGTGTGGGAGAACGTGGCAAAGGCTTCTACGCGGCGGTTCGGGCAGAACGAAGGCGAAGGCGAGGAGGTGCGCGTGGTGCTGTATCGCGACGACGCCGCGTGGTGCCCCTTCTGCCAGCGCGTGTGGCTGCAGCTCGAGGAGAAGCGCATTCCGTACCGGTGAGAACGGATTCCGTGAAGGTGAGAACGGATTCCGTCAAGGTGAGAACGGATCCCGTCAAGGTGAGAACGGATTCCGTCAAGGTGAGAACGGATTCCGTCAAGGTGAGAACGGATTCCGTCAAGGTGTGAACGGATTCCGTACCGGTGAGAACGAATTTCGTACCGGTGAGAACGGATTTCGTGAAGGTGAGAACGGATTCCGTGAAGGTGAGAACGGATTTCGTAAGTTGAGAACGGATTTCGTCAAGGTGAGAACGGATTCCGTGAAGGTGAGAACGGATTTCGTAAGTTGAGAACGGATTTCGTGAAGGTGAGAACGGATTATGTGCAGGTGAAAAGAGTGTATTGCAAAGTGAGAGCGGATTGCGTTTGGGTGAGAGGGGACAAGCAAAGGCAAAGCGACTGAGTGAGAGTGTGGGTTCTGCTCGTCATCACTTGCACCCCTATTCTTTCATCTCCCTCCCTCTCCCCGCCTTCTTGTGGCGGGGTTCACTCTCCCTGCTCCCTGCTCCAATCCTCCCTACTTTGATTCTCCTCTGCATCTCTCCCTTCGCCTCTGCCTCTCTCCCCTCTCCTCTGTAGTTTTCCTCTCTCCTATCGTCCCCCTCAGGGCGCGGTGCATTTGACGCAGATCCCAACGTTTGCTTTTTTCAATCGACTTACCCCTTTCATAAGTTCGATTGTGTAGTAGAAATTTTGATTTCATGAGGTTCGAGTCGCGGGTCCGATATCTGGTAAGTCAAAATGTGACCATCGAGGCTCGAAAAACAAAATTCGACCCTCTCCGAGCCGCGAATATACCATGTAGGTTACCCGATGTAGCCTACGTGGCTCTGGCGTCGTCCTCGAAATGTTTAGTGTAGATGTCGTCACGCTTCGCCAAGTTCGTGCGGCAGCTGAACTGAGCAGAAATGACCACGTTCGTAAGCATGCTTCGAACATTAATTTGGTAATCTGCGAAGGCTTTTGCGACATTTACGAGGTCAGTAACCATATCAAGTTCGAACAGTTTCCAAACATTGACTCAAAAGCACCGCGCCCTCAACATCATGCCCCTCGAATGCCGTTAGCATGGAGAGAATGTACCTCGAGTCCTACAGGCGAAATCTCTCAGCCTCGCCCTACTCCCCTCTCCCCTTGTCTCCCCCCTTCCATTCGCCCTGCCCGCTCCCAACCCTCCAACACCTTCAGGGTTGAGAAAATAAACCTCAAGTGCTACGGGCCAAAGCCTGATTGGTTCTTGGAGCTCGTGCCCAATGGCATGCTGCCAGCTGTCCAGGTGAGCGCGGTGGCTTGGTGGTGTGTGTGTTTGTTGGTGCAGCCTGTCGGCTATCTGGTTGTTTGTGAACGTGCTGTTTCCATTCTTCAGCTTTCAGGCGACTGTGCGGTTGGCTACCCCTCTCAAACCTCTCAACTCTCTCAAGCCTCTCAACACTGCACATATGCTCACATAGCATTGCTGCCCCGCCTACTCACCCACCTTTTTTTTTTTTTTTTTTTTTTATGTCTCATGTTTATGTTTATCCACCGATGTAACCTTTGAATCACGGAACAAGCAGTCTTTGTGACGTGATTATAACGCAACACATCACACCAATACCAGCTCCCGACACCTCCTGTCCCCCTCTATTGCCCCCCACCACCCAGCTAGACGGGCGAGTGATCACAGAGTCCGTGACTATAATGAAGGAGATCGAAGCCGCCTTCCCAAGTCACTCGCCGCTCCTCCCCCCTCCCTCTGATGCGCACGCAGCAGAGGCAGCAGAGCAGCTGATGGGTCTGGAGAGGGGGTTGACTGGGGCGTGGCTCAAGTGGACCAAGGGAAAGGATGCCATGCGCTGGCTTGCCGGTGGTAGTGGGGCCGGAAGCAGCAGCAGTGGGGGTAGCAGCAGTGTGAGCAGTAGTGGCAGCAGTAGCAGTGGCGAGGGTGCAGGCGATGAGGAGGAGGGGGAGGGGCGGAGGGAGTTTGAGGCGGCAATGGATGCCATGGAAGAGGCTTTGGTGAAGAGCGGAGGGCCTTACTTCCTTGGGAAAGAGGTTTGTCTGTCGGTTTCACTCATTACAGTCAATCTCGCTATTATGAAAGTCACTCTCATGTTCATCACAGTCACTCTTACATTGATCACATTCAATCTCACAGTAAGGCCATCAAATTATGCCAGACTTGAGCAGAATGGTGCGGTATTGACCTACCATGCTTTCATACCAAATACCATCCATTGTGCTTTCAAACTACTTAGCAAGTGAGACTATATTTATATATTCCCATGTACGGCAGCATATATACTTCTATCTGTCAGTGTGCCACACATACTGCTATCTGTCTCGCCAACTCATGTCTCCTGGCTCGTTTGCCTTTTATCTTTTAGACCTCCTCGTATGCTTCAAGTGCAAACTAGTCTCTGCCGCATTTCTGCCAGGAATGATCTCTCCATGCTTGCGTCCCTACTTCTCATGTGCTCCCAATTCTACCACCCATCCACACCTACCCCACCTCACATGTGGTTCTCCTCTCCCTTGTCGACGTGACCCACGTGCCTGCTGCACGTTCACCACAACATCCCTCCCTTCCGTTCCACACCCACCCCCGCCTCCCAGCAGTTCTCCCTTGTTGACGTGACCCACGCGCCTCTCCTGGAGCGATTCGCTGCCAGTGCACCGTACTGGAAAGGCCTCACAGTGCGGAACAACCCTCGCTGGCCGGCGCTCTCCCGCTGGTACGACGCCATGGATGCTCGACCCGCCTACCTCCCTCTCAAGTCTGACGATTTCTCCATCACCCACTCCCTTGTCCCGCAAATTGGGCCGGTGATCGCCAGCACCAATCCAACGGCTGTGGCGCGCCGGGCTTTTATTGATGGATGGGATGGGACGGGTGCATGGGATCTGCCACTGGGGGAGGAGGAGACGGCGTGGGGGAGGGAGGATGGGACGGGGGGGGAGGGGCGGAGGGCGCAGAGAGAGGTGGTGCAGGCGATTGTGGGGAATCATGACAGGCTAGTGGCCTTTTGCCTGCGTTCTTTGGGGGATTCTGCACATGTTTCAGCCGCTACGACTACTGGGGATGCTGCTGGTGCCATGGGTGCTGGTGCCGCTTCTATGAGCAGCCAGACTCATGCGGACCAAGCTGAGCCACAGCAGCAGGCCATCACAGCGGAATGCCTTGCGCCAGCTGTCAGCGAGGCGTTGCGCCACGTGGCGCATGCACTGCTGGTCGGCACAGAAGCAGCAGGCCCATTCCCTGCCGTGTCCCAGTCACTTCAGATGATAAGTGGTGGGAGCAGAAGTGAGGATGTGAGGGCAGCAGGGGAAGAACGGTTGGTGATGGCTCTTGCGTATCTGAGGGATAGAGTTGGGGTGCCAAGGGACTTGAGTTATCCAGCTGCAAGGCAGCTCCGAGCTCACCTTCAGTGGGTCGTTCGGTCATTAGGATCCCCAATGTAAAGACGTAGATGACCTTATTGTTGATAACCATTATGATTCACGTGTAAGAGAGAAACGTTTGACCACTTGAACACTACACCAGGTTTTCTGTCATCGTTGTAACTTGTAGGTATTTATTTCTTCGAATGCGGTGGAACCATATTGTAGAAGCCCTTTAATATATTAAGCCTTTTCAGCAACCCTCCACTCCATGAGTTTCCTCATGTGGAGCAGTAGCCATCGCGATCATGATGATGCTTCAAAGAAAGCCTGGCACACATTGCGAGTCAGAGACTCGTATCGGAGGTGAAGGCTGTGGTTTGAAAAGGCAAGGCGACTTTCAGCATGATCACGAGCTCAATTACAGGACGTTTCTGGGTTGCATAGAGCTGGGATAGCTCGAAACCATGGGAGGAGGGGGGTGGGGGGGGGGGGGGGAGAGAAACAAGGGACAGGAATCAGAGGAGGTGGCGTGTGTTGACACTGCTGGTGGAGGAGTCATAGTGAGAGCGGATTTGACTGAATTGCGAGGGCTCCGATGCTCCCTCTGCTCCTCCACTGCGGAGACTCAGATCACTGTGACCAGTAAGTCGTCACCAAGTAGTGGTTCAGTAATTGAATGAAATATAACTTCCATGCATCTGCTCTCTTGCAAAAATGATGGCCCTGCCACCATGATAATATGGTCATCATGCCTTCATGGCCCTGCCACCATGATAATATGGTCATCATGCCTTCATGGCCTTGCCACCATGATAATATGGCCATCATGCCTTCATTCTAGTCATCATCCTGGCCAGCATACTATCCCTCTCCATCACCTTCCCACGCGGCTGCCAGTATCGCTGGCATGTTGCTGACCCGCATTGCCTGGCAGCAGTGGGAGGGGGCAAGGAGCAGGTGGCATCTGGGTGGTGGGCTCGGGGTTTGTTGTAACTTGCTGGGCAATGTGTTTGAGGTTCCATGTAGGTGGTGCTATGGTTAGCTTCTGTTTCCAGAAAATTCGCAAGCTAGTTGTGTTTCAATCCCCGCGAGGCCCTCAAATATATAGGTAAAACATGCTGAAACCCGGGATTTTATGGTGTTGGTAGGTGCTAGAGATTTCAAGAAGTTGGTTGAACATGTCATGCACTTGCTTGATGTTGTGCTTTTTAGCCTGTAATTTCAGAGTGTGGTGCCGCTCAATGCGGTGCCTCAGGGTATATCTGAGGACCGCACTGACCTGGTGTGACCTACCTGGCTTGGTCTGACCTACCTGGCTTGGTGTGACCTACCTGGCTCGGTGTGACCTACCTGGCTTGGTGTGACCTACCTGGCTTGGTCTAACCTGCCTGGCTTGGTGTGACCTACCTGGCTTGGTGTGACCTACCTGGCTTGGTCTGACCTTCCTGGCTTGGTGTGACCTACCTGGCTTGGTGTGACCTACCTGGCTTGGTCTGACCTACCTGGCTTGGTGTGACCTACCCTGGCTTGGTGTGACCTACCTGGCTTGGTGTGACTTACCTGGCTTGGTGTGACCTAACTGGCTTGGTGTGACCTACCTGACTTGGTGTGACCTACCTGGCTTGGTCTGACCTACCTGGCTTGGTGTGACCTACCTGGCTTGGTCTGACCTTCCTGGCTTGGTGTGACCTACCTGGCTTGGTCTGACCTACCTGGCTTGGTCTGACCTACCTGGCTTGGTGTGACCTACCTGGCTTGGTGTGACCTACCTGGCTTGGTCTAACCGGCCTGGCTTGGTGTGACCTACCTGGCTTGGTGTGACCTACCTGGCTTGGTCTGACCTACCTGGCTAAGTGTGACCTACCTGGCTTGGTGTGACCTACCTGGCTTGGTCTGACCTACCTGGCTTGGTGTGACCTACCTGGCTTGGTGTAACCTACCTGGCGTGGTCTGACCTTCCTGGCTTGGTCTGACCTACCTGGCTTGGTGTGACCTACCTTGCTTGGTCTGACCTACCTGGCTCGGTCTAACCTAGCTGGCTTGGTCTGACCTACCTGGCTTGGTGTGACCTACCTGGCTTGGTCTAACCTACCTAGCTTGGTCTGACCTACCTGGCTTGGTGTGACCTACCTGGCTTGGTGTGACCTACCTGGCTTGGTCTGACCTACCTTGCTTGAAATAACCTACCTGGCTTGGTGTGACCTACCTGGCTTGGTGTGACCTACCTGGCTTGGTCTGACCTACCTGGCTTGGTGTGACCTACCTGTATTGGTGTGACCTACCTGGCTTGGTGTGACCTACCTGGCTTGGTGTGACCTACCTGGCTTGGTCTGACCTACCTGGCTTGGTCTGATCTACCTGGCTTGGTGTAACCTACCTGGCTTGGTGTGACCTACCTGGCGTGGTCTGACCTACCTGGCTTGGTCTGACCTACCTAGCTTGGTCTGACCTACCTGGCTTGGTGTGACCTACCTGGCTTGGTGTGACCTACCTGGCTTGGTCTGACCTACCTTGCTTGAAATAACCTACCTGGCTTGGTGTGACCTACCTGGCTTGGTGTGACCTACCTGGCTTGGTCTGACCTACCTGGCTTGGTGTGACCTACCTGTATTGGTGTGACCTATCTGGCTTGGTGTGACCTACCTGGCTTGGTCTAACCTGCCTGGCTTTGTGTGACCTACCTGGCTTGGTCTGACCTTCCTGGCTTGGTGTGACCTACCTGGCTTGGTGTGACCTACCTGGCTTGGTCTGACCTACCTGGCTTGGTCTAACCTACCTGGCTTGGTGTGACCTACCTGGCTTGGTCTAACCTACCTGGCTTGGTGTCACCCACGGATACAGTACCGACCCATTTTTCATGACCGGAACTTCACAACAACTGGCAGAAGCTAAAGAAGTATATTACGTAAAGTTAGGCACCAACCGCATTTGGGTACTCGCGTACTCACCACTTAGGGAACTGTTACTACAGGAGGCACACGACGGCATTACCTCAGGACATTTTGGGGTAGAAAAGACGCAGCAGCAACTGCAGCGGTATTACTCCTGGCCGGAGCTATTGACCGATGTACAGCACCACGTGGGCTCGTGTCCTACGTGTCAGGTGATGAAGAGCTCGCGAAAAAGAAAGGCGGGTCAGTTGCAGCCGATTCCACCGCCCGAGCGCGCCTGGCAGCAGGTTACCATGGACTTCGTCACAGGGTTACCTTCGAATACTGCGGGTAACGACGCGGTTATGGTTGTCGCTGACATGTTGACGAAGATGGCACACTTCGCTGCGTGCAAGAAATCAATCTCATCCGAAGAAATCGCTCGCCTGTTCATCGCAGCCGTCGATCGACTTCACGGGATACCAGCCGCGATAATCAGCAACCGCAACACGAAGTTCACCAGCAACTTCTGGAAGAACCTTTGGGAGCAGTTCGGGACCAGGCTACAGTTCAGCTCGTCGTACCACCCCAAGACCGACGGTCAAACAAAGCGGACGAATCAGAAGATGGAGCAGTTGATTCGTGCCACGCGCGACGACCCGACAACTTGGAAGCAACAGCTGCCGCTGATCAAGTTCGCGTACAACAATGCCACGTCAGCGACGACGCAGCAGTCCCCGCTCTTCCTGAACTACGCGCAAAACCCTACAGTGCCCATGACGCCGAGTCGGACAACCCAACACCACGCGCACAACAATTCGCCGAGATTCTGCAAGCTGCTCGCACCAGAGCCGCTGAAGCAATTATAAAAGCAAATATCATCGCTAAGCGCAACGTTGACCGCCACCACCGCCCAGTCACGTACCAGTCTGGAGACTACGTGCTACTCGACACACAAACTTAAGACTGCCCGTCGTACCGAAATTACGACCGCGCTACTGTGGACCTTTCCAAATCAGCCACATGATCACCCCAGTAATCGCCCATTTACTGTTGCCGACAGACTGGTACATCAGCCCATCATTCCACGTCAGCCTGCTTCGCCCATACATCCCTACCACAAGCCAACTGTCGCGTCACCGCCCGCCATCCATGACTCGCCCTGCATCGGAGCCGATCAACGAGCCCAAAAAATTTCTGAGCCATCGGACTCGACACCCTACGGGAATCAGGAGGATTGAACTCCTCGTTCGCTGGAAGGACCGCACGCCAACTAAGGATAGCTGGGTGCCCCTGGCCAACATCGAAAACCACCCTTCCCTGCAAGTGTACCTGTGGAGCCGGAGTCTCCGCGATAAACACGCAATTGCGTAGCGGAGGGGGCTTCTTAAGGGGGGGGGGGGGGGGGGGTAGTGTGAGGAATTTTCTCGACATTCCTTAGCGCATCCTGTAACATCGCGTACAGCAGCAGCCGTTGTTTGCCCGTTATTGCTAACAGGGCTTTGCCTACTTTGCGCGCACTGTTTCACCAAACCTCGCACTGCTGGCCCGGCCGTGTCGGCCTACGCTTCGGGACTAGCCCGAACCTCACTACCAGTGTAGGACTAGCTAGCTCGCACACATCGCGTTACCGTTTGCATGTTTCGTGTATAAATGTTCGCTCATGCCTTCGCTCACATTTTGTACTCGTTTGACACTTAGTGCAATCCTCGCTACCTCGATTCATTGCACCCGTAACAGCGTACAATCATTGCGAGAGCGAATAAACAGTCATGCGGGGCGAGTTAGCTACTGCGATACTGGCGGCGAGGTTCGGGCTAGAAGCGTAGGCCGAATCGGCCAAGTCCAGCAGTGCGAGGTTGGGGAAAGTGATGTGTGAAGGTTGCGAAACACCGTTACCAGTGCAAGTGTTGCTTTCGATGCTGCCCTGGGGCACCCAACCATCTTCCGTGGGGGTGTGGTCTTCTAGTGGACGAGGAATTTATTCCTCCGAGATCCCTGGGGGTGGCAAATCCAATGGCTAAGAATCTAATCGGGTTCGATGATTGGCTCCGAAGCAGTACACGTCATCGAAGGTGGACGATGTCGTTGCAGTTGGCTCGTGGTTGGGATGTATGGTCGAAGAAGAATGGTGTGGAACGACGGACTGATGTGCCAATCGGCGGGTAACAGTAGATGGGTGTCAAACTTATATGTAGCTTATTGTGTAGGCTGTATTGGGGTTGCCCATATGGGGTACAACCCAATTAGGGTTTCCTACTTGTACCCATCTTGCTGATAGTTCATTCATTCCTCTTCGTACTTCTGACATGGTTTCAGAGCAGGTCCTAGCCTAGGACCATTTTATTTAGGGCCCACCAAGCCGATCTACCCCACGCGTCGCGCCGCCCTACCCTGCCCTGCGTCGCGCTGCCGCGCATGCCCTGCCCTGCCCTGCCCGCTCGCTACTTGTTGCTGCGCGCCCTGCCCTGTCGGCGCGCATCTCGCTACCGTGCGCACTGCCCTGCCCGCGCGCTGCTCGCCGCCGCGCCGCGCGCTTTGTTTGCGCGCCGCTCACAGCCGTGCCGTGCGCCCTGCCTGCGCGCCCTGCCTGTGCGTCGTCGTGCCGCGCGCCCTGCCTGCGCACCGCTCGCTGCCGCCACTGCGCCACACCGCCGCGCCGCACGCCCTGCCCCGCCCGCGCGCCGTTGCCGCCGTCGCGCGCCCTTCCTTGCCCGCGCGCCGCCTGCCGCTGCGCGCCCTTCCTTGCCCGCGCGCCGCCCGCCGCCGGCCCTGGCTTGCCCACGCGCCGCCCGCCGTCGGCTCTGCCCTGCCCGCGTGCCCTGCCCTGCCCGCTCGCCGCCGCCGCTAAGCGCCCTGCCCTACCCGCGCGCCGCCCGCCGCCGTGCGCCTTGCTCTGCCATCGCGCCACCAACAGCCGCATGCCCTGCCGTGCCCTTGCGCCGCTAGCACCCGCGCTGCCCTTCCTGTGCGCCGCCCTACTGGCCGCTGCCCTACGCTGCCCTCTTTGCATGCTGCCCTGCTGCTAGCACGTTCGCCTGCTCTGCCTGCTATGGTGACCCTGAGCGTCCTCACCTTTGATTCAGAGGGCCGCCCGATAGAGTTCGACTCTTGGCTCGATGA